CCTGGTGGGACACTTAATATGCTGTCTGTACTTTGGAAGTTCATGGCTGAGGTTTGCTTTGTTAAAGTTCCCGAGAACTATGAGCTGGGAGTCTGGATGTTTTTTCTCCACATTAGTTATCTTGTCGGCCAGGTGTAGTAACGCCTCACTAACACAGGCCTGAGGTGGAATGGCTAAACGGCGACCAGAACAAACAAGGAAAACTCCTGCAGTGAATAAAATGGTTTACAATTTATGAATATTGTCTCTAAGTGAGGACTGCACGACTGTGACATCTGTACACCAACTTTCGTTTATCCCCATAAGGACAAAACAATTTGGAAGTGTAAATGCGGCCGTTGAGTGATAATATAGATACTGTCTATATAATGTTGCATTTCTGTCACTTTTAGAAAAAATTTCACTTGCTCCCGAAAAGACTCACTTTTTAAAAAAGTGTTAAAGTGTTAAGCTATCTTGTCTTTGACTTCATGTGGAAAATATTTTGTTCGTTTACTAGCTGTTCTGGAGTTTTTGATTATATCACAAGTTCTTCGTCGGCTGATGGAGTTTGCTCAGTTGTCATGGAATTGTACATGTTCAAATTTCTTTCAAGGCCCTGCTCACCCACACATGTATTTTGGTCGTTCTGGACGATTAGATATCATTTGGAATCTATGTTGACTGGAGTTTGGCTAGAGGTTGGGAACTTGAGGTTTTCCTAGTCACTTCAATAGCGTAGAGAGGTATTTTATTACAGCTTCTACGTTAAAAGAAACTGCTTCTTAAGGCTTTTCAGCATCTCGTGATGGTTCCAAAATGAGACAGATGGTACACTGGGAGACAAGCTTTAAGGCTATTTTTATTTCATAATCATTAACAAGTTTTTGACAAATTGCTTTGGCACCAGATGCTAAATGCACTTCTTACAAAGGGATAAAATGAAAAAGTAAAGGACAAAAAGACACTAAAGGCTGTTTAATTCAACAAGGTGGTGTCCGTGTCACTGTGTTCGGTTGTGAAGAGAGACAAAGAGCATGACAGGGAGGAAAATTATGAAAAAATCTCACTGAAAATTATTTTATCATATTCCCTTCCTATACATGCAGACACACACCACCACCACCATTACCGCTTACTATCCTTTTTATGCCTAATAAGTAAAAAGCATACTTAAAATTCAACGTTCAAATTCTGCTCCCATTTTCCTGTGCAATGATACCAGGAGACGGCGGCAAGTGACTCATTACTAATGGAAAATATCTGAGAAAGATAGATGAAGGGGGTAGTGGCAATAGAAAGGGGGGGGGGGGCAGAGAGAGGAACACAGGGGAAGGAGAGAGGGATGGATGGAGGCGGGGGAGTGGAGAGAGAAGCAGAGGTTCCTAAATGTTTCTCATTACTAATGGAAGCAATCTGAGTTCACTTCACTGTAGAGCAAATATTTGGCAATTAGTTAAATTTTACTATTTTTCATCCCCTCTTGGACCACCAGTCCATCTCTCCCTCCCGCCTTCCATATCCCCGACTCTGTCACTGTCCCACCTCTTTCTTCTATATAGTGTCTCTGTGTATATAGAGGTGGTATGGCAGCTTAGGGTAGAGTTGGAGAGACGTCTACTGGTGAAATGTGGTAACTTCAGAAAGATTATATACTGTAGGTGCATTGTGGGAGATGATTTCAAAGAATAAAACACAAATATTAATCTATTTCAAGTATATTTTAAGATTCTCAGGTTTTAAAGAGATGAGTAGTAGCATGCATGAGAGGAGTTAATTGTCACCCTAAAAGGGGCAGAATGTTTATAATATGATGTATACTATAATATTTGTAATATGTAATATATGTAGTATATTGATTTTTAAGTTGCACAAATAAGAAAACACAAAAATCATAACATGTGTGAGATATAGAAATGTCCAAAAGGGCTTATAAAGACATCTCGAGAAAAGAAATATACAATCACATCTAAAATCAAAATGTATCAATGAACAAAAAAACTAAAATTCATTAAAAAAAATTGCATGGCATCCAGAAGAAAAAAGAAAAAAGATAAAAATAGAACATTTGAAGAACTAATAATTATACATGTAAAAAAAAAAAATTAACACACACACAGTTGCTAATAACAAGTAAAGCATACTATAGAAAAGATGCTAGGAGAAATGAACAGAGAGTTGTTGTAAGAGACAGATAATTTACACGCCTGTGTGGATAAAAAAAAAAGTGAAACATTTATATTAGAAATAGAAAGAACTTTAAAATCACGGAAGATTCACAAAATTTACAACACAACGTAGGCAGCAGCGACATGTCTCAGCTCTTGTTTTGGAAGTCTTAACATAAGATGTTAATGTTGGTGCAGGCTGTAATACAAAGTCTTGGAGGACTTAGTCAAATCACTATTAAATATAATATAAACAAACATACGCAAAATTCACAACATTAAATTAAACCAAAAAATGTGACTTTTGTGTGTGTGTCACGTGTATGCTGTATGTCAAATTAATCACTCTGAATTGATACTGTCTGCAAAGATTCTCAGTCATTCAGGTTATAGTTATCCAAGCTGGGTTCACATCAAGGGCTTGGTTGAAGATGTTTGAGAAGAATATTCCTCATCACAAAGCATGATCAATGCTCTACAACATTGTGTGCTTATAGTTACTTTTTTCCTGCCATTGTTTGGAAAATCAATAAAAACTGGTTTTAGAATGAAGTGGTTCCAGGAAAAGTCATAGGGATGAGATGAGTTGGCGAGTGTGTGTGTGTGAGTGTGTGTGTGTGTGTTAGTAATAGATCATATTTCCCATGATGTCATTCACCAGCCACATTCCATTAATCTCCCATACACTCATACTGCTTATGATAGCACTATCATTCATTCACACACGCACACCACACACACAATCTGAGATCATGTATGTGTGTGTGTTTAACATGTTGATGTGAGGTCATCTGTCTCTCTCAGTCAAAGCTACATACTTTGTGTTGTGGCTGAATGACTGTATATTCTGCAAACATTTAATATGCAGAAGTATAAAATACAGAACTACACAGGTGGTTCCTCCTTTAATGTCATTTACACTTCAATTCGATGTTACACCATGAGATCAGCACTTGCATCTCAATATCTTAAAGTATCATCAATACATTTCAACAGAGACCACACAAACTAAACTGTCTGCGAAAATTGCAGCAATACCAGCCCTGTCTGTATCTGTCTCATTCACTGTTTCCTCATCCACAAAGCCCTCTCTCTTGTATAAGTGAAACTTGTAGTTTAAACACTATTTCAAAAAAAGCATACCTTTTTTGGTTGGATACTTTAAAATGTTGCTGTCTCTCACTAGTTCTCCAATGTTGCCTACCCCAGCTGTAATATTTTCACAACTGTGAATTGAATAGAATAGAACTTTATTGTCATTGTTTGGTAACAGTGAAACACTGTTCAGCAGCTCTGGGTCTACAGCGAGACATAAATACAGCAATATAATAAATAGATAAAAACCAAGACATCGTGTGCAATTGGGTTAACTCCCCCACCTCCAATAAAGAGCAATGCACAGGAGCTTCTCTAAATATTTCAATGGTAAGCATCTGGGACTACAGTTAAATATACCTATATACAGGATGACATTAATCTATCATTTGGAAAATCCTCTGTCAAGGTGAAGTTATGCTGTTAAAGTGAGACTGGTACATTTGAAAGGAAGAAGAAATAATACATTCTTTGCCTTACAAATGAAACGTTTATTTTACAAGCAATAAACGCACCCTTGCTCAGATACAATGAAGGGCTTTGCTGCCACAGCCATACTTGGTTAGGTATGACAAGTAGCTTAAGATGGCTAATGTAAGCTAATGCTAATAAGCTAGTAATAAAGATTGATATTGTTGTTTAACTGACCTCACTGTGTCAATTTAACTCTACTTGTTGCATTGGTTCACTCCATTTTAGCTTGTACTATTCTCCTGTTATTGCCATTTGTGGCCACAGTGGCTACTGTTCAGTGAAAATTACATAGGCTGGCTTGAAAGCAGTACTGGACAGAACCAGGACAAGCGTGCAGAAAAAACAAACTCAGATCAATTTACTGTTATTTTCTTAAATACACTTGGTAAGTTCTTATGCCTGACAAGTTTTCCTACTTTACTTACGTCTCCAGCAGGAGCTTTCTGTGACCTTGCTAAATGTTTGACTTTGACTTTGTTTCAACCATAGGCCCACGAATTAAAGCTGCCGAAGCCGCACAGAGCTGTGTGCAGAGTGGTCTGCTAATTCATAGTGGAACTGGCATTTCTAACAACCCTTACACATTACAGGGAGTCATTTCACTCAGTGGTGACATCAAAATACTGCCTAATGGAGCTTTAATTAAATGTTGTGTGATATTCATTCAACCCCTGACCTCAGTGTAGAAGAGTCCAAAGAGAATTGCTACATAAGCAAACAAAATTAGCCCCTAATTAATTAGCTCTTGCCAGACGGCTTGTTTTTGTGGTTTTAAGTCATGTTAATATGTCTTACAGGCCTGGCGTGTGTCTTTTTGTGCCTCAATAAATTCCGTTAAATTCAGTGTGCTTTATTGGCAGGGATATTAGGCAGACTGTTATCAAAGCTTCCTAATGCAGTTGTGATTCATCAAAAAAAAAAAATATATATATATATATATATATATATGCGACTATCAGTACTGTTTGTCTGAATGTTTGAGTGAATAAGTTTCTGAGTTATTGATTTAGAAAATTTGCCAATCTGAAGGTAATTTCAGTTTTCATGTTTTTTTATTTCCTGTTGTCAAAATGTTGTAGATCACACTGACGTGAGCAGACCGGTTAGTAAAAAGCACATAGGAAAAAATCAACACAAAGAAAACTTAGCTTCACTCATTTAGTGTTAAAAGTCTGACAAATATATATGATTATTTTGTTTTTTAGCTCGCCGCCAGTGATCCTTTGAACAATAACTGATATAAATCTCATCGATTTAACTTCTCCTCCTTCCCCCTGACTGTAGATATGTATCGCCTGGAGTTGGCTGGTGGTCTGGGGGTCATATTGTTGCTGCTGGGAGTCCTGACAGCACTTTATAAGTGTTACAACCTGGAGATCATGCTCTGCTACAGGAGACACTTTGGCAGTGATGAAACTGAAGATGGTAAGCCTATTGGTGTGCTCACGTTGCACACTAGAGGACAGTCACACAACAGCAGCGTCCAGGCAGGCAACTTACAACAGGAATCAGAATGTACATCGACATGCATGCTGAAGTAGGAAGAGCAGAGAACGACAAACATGGAAGACAGCAGTGAGAGAACAGTGGAGTGCATACAGTTGAAGAGGTTTCTACACAATGTTCATGTTGGCAACTTGTTGCTGTACTCACATTAAGTCCAACAACACACACTCACTAATGACTGTGCGGCAGTGAAAAGCCATTAGTAAGTTAGTCAGTAATTACTAAGTAGAAACATGATGGAGAAGCAAAAAAAAGCACAAAAGATACAATTAAACCCAATCAAGTGTACACTCAGTCAAAGAAAGCAATTAACAAAAAATGAGAAGTTAATTAACTTTTTCTCAATCGATTGGGTGATGTTTTTCTTTGGTCATCTGTTGAAGGGTAACCATGAGCTTTTTTTTTTGCACAGTACATTTCAAAAGTAAAATTGACAAGCAGTAAAAGTAAATAAATGATGCTGCATGAAGAAAAGAAAACTGACAAATGTGTAATTTTGTAGCATTGATTGTAAGTATTGATTTCAAATGAAAGATCTAACTCAGCCTGCTTTCCCTAGCGAAATGGTGACCACAAGCATCACATCTCTGTACTTGGTCATTTTCTGATCCATTGCTACATTTTTAAAAAGCAACGGTGTAAGCTAAGTATAATATTAGAATTATGACAAGCGAGAAAAAGAGAAGTAGTAAAAAATTAAATGTTATTTTGTGTCTTGACCAGACCAGTACCATGGCTTCATGTCGCTCTCAGTATAACTGGACTCACTCTGTCTCACTGTCTATCTCTTCACAGATAATAAGGAGTACGATGCCTATCTGTCCTATACTAAAGTGGACTTAGACTCTTTGGGCAGGTCAGTCACTTTTTATTTATTACTCCTTAAAAAGGTAATAATATTACTTTACTTATTAATATTACTTTATGTAAAACTGGTTATGTTACTGTATTAGGCTACTTCACTACGATCCACCAACTTACCCTTCACCCCCAAACAAAGCAGTCTCTTCCGACTTTATCATCTTCATAACAGCAGCAAGAAAAATAAAATAAAAATATAATAAAGCAAGTAAATCCCTACTTTTGAACTAGGCTACATTTTTTCTGCGTATATATTTATAAGAGCAGTAGCCTTTTCAGTATTTTTTTTAAACATTGTTGTTTGTTGTATACGTTGGACCCCTCTCTCTCCAGACAACTGCATGCATCACAGGCAGCAGAGGCCGGAGTTTCTTTCTATAGGTTTCACATTGCTGCGCTGCTTTAAATGTACAATTGTTTGCGGTTTAAAGCTTTTTGCTGGTCGCACAACGAACGTTTACAACAGACGACAATGTTCTTTGCATCTTAGACGCAATATTTAACAGTAGCTACTTGCAGCTGGTCAAAGAACGCCTCCTTCCCTCGTTTTCCAGTCTTCATTAGTTTTTGGCTAACAGCTGACTTGAACAATTCACGCATATTTTTTTTTGCATTCACGTCAAGGATGGTGCGTTCTGGTGACGTAGCGTTGCTTGGGTTATTAACTGTAACAATATTACTGTTTTGGAAAATTAATTAGTTACACTACTTAGTTACTGGGAAAAGTAATATTATTACAGTAATGCGTTAACTGCCCAACACTGTCCACGTATATGAATTACAGTTTTTTTTTCAATTGCTAACATGCATTGGTCAAAACTGAAGTCACATTGTCAAAACTCTTCACACAGTCAGTGAAACAGAAGTTTCTCTTTGTTTTAACACAAAATGCATTCAATGACCACTTTCTCCAAAATCCATGAACTCTTTTCCCAGTACTCCTTCACTACCTGCAAAACACTGTCTATCTGCAGCACATTTTTCAGATGTGTCCAAAAATGTTAAAAACACATTCAAAACAGAATGATGGTATTTCTGATATAACCAGACTGAAATAGAATAGAAAATCTTACAAGAATATTTACCCAAGATTTATGTTTACATAGTTTACATCTATGTGCATGGGAAACTGTGTGTAGTGTTTTGAACTAAGTGTGGTTTAGAACCGCAGTCTGAGAGTAAAGCAGGAAATGTGCTTGTGTTTTAGCAGAATTGTTTGAGGGGGTTGGTACATGAACTACAGGTCGTGGTCATTTTGGCTCAAATACAGTGATAGTATGTAAGCAATTGAGGAAAAAAATGTATTGCAGCACTGAAATTTTAGGAATTACTTTTTTGTTTCAAAATAATTCACCACTTTCTCCAAAATCCATGAGCTCTTTTCTCATTACTACTCCACCAACTCTAAAACACTATATACTGTATCTGCAACACATTTTTCAAATGCTAACACAATGAGTCCAAAACTGTTAAAAACACGTTCAAAAGAGAATAATGGTAAATATTCTTCATTTCTGAAGTAACTAGACTGAAATAGATAGAAAATCTTAGCAATATAATAAGTTTTGTTTACATAGTTTACGTCTATGTGCAGGGGAAACTGTGTGTAATGTTTGAAGTGTGGTTTAGAACTAGTCTGAGTGTAAAGCAGGAAATGTGCTTGTTTTGTAGCAGAATTGTTTCACGGGGTTGGTACATGAATCAGAGTTGTGGTCATTATGGCTCAAGGACCAGTGTTACTGTGGAAACAATTGAGAAAAACTGTATTGCAACACTGAAATTTTGTTTTTTGTTTTATCTTTTTATATTTCAAGTCAATTACTATATGCAGTGATATAGAAAAAAAACTATAAAGGATACTGAAGCAAATTTCTGATTTCTTCTTGTTACATATATTTTAGTACAGTCAATATGTGAAAAATCATTTAATCTTCTAAGATAACAGTTCCTCATTTATGTTACACTTTCTGAGTGAGAACTGTTGCCAGTGTTTTTGAGGTGTGCGTGACTTTTGGAGGTGAGATTAACAGTTTGGCCAAGATGCATGTTTGTAATGCATGTTTAAATAGTTTTTATAAATTTCCCTCAGTGTTAAAAAAACACTGTAACTTATGGGTTTGCATTTGATTTTGCATCTGGAACCATAATTGTTATTCCCTTCCTCAGCAGGACGAGCAGCGATGAGGAAACGTTTGCTTTGGAAATCCTGCCGGATGTTTTAGAGAAACATTATGGATACAAGCTGTTTATACCAGACAGAGATCTAATACCCAGCAGTAGTAAGTATCTGACTATCTACCTAACCTCCACACACCCTCACACACACAAACATACACATCCTGTCTCAGTGGGCCAGTATAGCTCCCAACCCCCCACAATTCATCACTCTGTCAGAATAAAAAAGAATGAATGTGGATGATTGTGTGTGAATGCAGGAACATCCCGTGCAAACTCAAACTGCAGGAAAACACACAGTGTCGCCTCACTTTTGAGACAGACAGTCTCTGTCCAACTGCAGGGGGAAATATTACTGTTATTGCTGTTATCTGTCAATGCTCTGACCTGACAAACACTCTCACACACACAGAAAGGGGAAACACAAGTCTTCCTGCCTACACATGCACACAAGGCACACAATATCTATCTATCTATCTATCTATCTATCTATCTATCTATCTATCTATCTATCTATCTATCTATCTCTATCTATCTATCTATCTATCTATCTATCTATCTATCTATCCCCTTCATTTTACTAATATATTAAAATAAAGAAAGATAGGTTTCAGTTCTCCCTCAAAATGTACACTGAACATAATGATGAAAAAAAATTAAGACATGGGCATGAGGAAAAAAGACTATAAGCTATTATGAAATTCGCAAGTATTCTCAGTACACACACACACATCCATCATTGTTAGCTCATCTCTGGCCATGCTGGCTGCCGGGACAGTGAAAAGAGCACTTATATTGGAACGTAATAATGTTCATCTGTTTATCACATAAACACACATTTACAATTCCCCTAAACACACATTCATACACAAATGCATAAATATACACATCTATCTATGTCTATGCAAATATTTACTGCCTTCCTGGTTATTTGTACAATAGGGAGGATGATTAAAGCTGCAACAACCAATATTTGAATATTAACAATGGACCAAATTGCTATGCATAGTGTAAAATGGGTGGCGGTGATGATGAACTCCCTCCAAGTTCTCATCAGACTCTGCAGTGTCCCTCAGCTCTACAGAGCACTTTAGCATCTTTCAGCTGATTGTTTTGGCTAAAACTTAAAATACATGGTTCACTCTGACAGCTCTCATCAACTCTGGATTCAGCACAGGCAGATGTTTTTACTTAACAAGCTCTAATAAACCACCAACCGGCAGACAGACAAGTTATTGACCAGCTGGTGAACATAGTGGAGCATATAGCAGCTAAAGAGACAGATTTTCCCCCTTAGGAATGGGTAGAGACCAAAAAGAGCTAAAATGAGTGTGATTTTTGGAGGGCTGCACCTAACAGTTATTTAGTATATAAATAAAATGTAATTGAATTGAAATGCCCTTATCAAGCCAATCACTGTAGTTCTGGATATACTGGAGCAGAGCAGTGCACACATCTTTCCTAAAGTTTCATCAAAACCTAACTAGCAGCAGTATCAAAGATATTATCAAATTATTTTTTTTATATATTTATTTTCTGACTTCAGGGGACTAAATATGTAACATACTTGCTCATTGCTTTAAAAACATTGTAGTTGTCTCAGTTGCACCTGGTTTATTCACCTGAAGTGTCAAACTAATGCATGGAGCCATTAGACCACCAGAACCATTATCTACTGTGTGCCAAAATCACATTTCAGCTTGTCCAAAAAATGTCTTAAAAAGAGTGTTGTCGCTAAAATAACTTGTATAATGTGGCTGCAAAGTAACAAACGAATGTGTGTTCTTCGCATTATTTAACATTTCCTCTTAAAATACATGAATAAATTTACTTATTTAATATGGTTCATCATTCATCGCCATGCACCACAGTCTGCCCTTAGCCGAAATTATGCCTCCTCCTAACACACACTCAAGACAAACACAAACAACAACTCAAAAATGCATCCTGACAACAGATCATAAAGGCATTTTTCCTCTAAAAATGAGGCTTTCGTCCTGAAAACATCCACAAAACAAATGTCCACTGTGCATAACTAGAAACGTAACTATGTGGAAGCTGCATATGAACTAAGGGTTACATAGAGTGAAAAATAACCTTAATGAGTCAATCACAGAGACAGAGAGAGGTGCCTTTTCACTGCTTGCCAAAGCCATTGACAGAGCAACACGTTGATGCAACCGAAAATACACAATTCAATTGTCCACTCCATTAGCCCTCCGAAATTAACAAGAGAGCGAGAAATAAACAACGGGAACAAAAAGATGTGGGGACAGGGTCATTGGTTTGTGTTATTTCATTAATTGATTTACATAATCCTCAAAAGCAGCGAGCGGGAAGAGGAAGTGAAGGGCAGGAGAGAGAAGGGGAGGTTAAGAGTGAGGAAAAGAGAGAGAAAGATAAAGAGAGAGCCGGGAAAGCAAACCACAGAAGAGAAAAAAAGAAAGGGACTGAATTTTGGGATGTTCTATACTATTTGTGCCCCTCAAATTGAGCGTGAAATTGCAATGTGTTGCTGGAGAGTCTTTGTCATTAATTTAGTTAGCAAGTGAAGAGATGGTGAAGGAGAGAGACTGAAGGCAAATCTGTTGTTCACAGAACACACAGCTTTCAGATGTTTTCTGTAACCACAAATTTGAGAAATAATGAGCAATTTTGGCGAGGCAAGTTCCAAAAGACACTGAGAAGTTACAAACAAATAATTGGAAATGGGTTTACACTGGGCCTGGCACAAGGCCACAGAGAGGATAAAAAGAAGCATTTTAAACTGTGGTGAACTCTTTTGGCTCTATGTTGACTTTTTTTTAATATATTGACACATTCAGTAGCTCTACCTCTGATTTGATCACTTTTCACATCTCATCACCAATTTCACATTCCCCTCCCTAAAACTGATGGTGGTGAATCAGCATGACTTGGATGCCAAGTTAACTGTGCTGTTTCACAGCCAAAACTCTTGCATAAGCATTTCTGTCACTCTTGTCAGTCATTCCAGTCATTTATGAACAAAATGAGTTGAAATTTGCCGCTAGCAAAAAGAAGGCAGATACTGGCAGTTTTTCCCTTCACACTAATGTTAAATCTCCTGTTTCTTTATCTGTCATTAGTAAAAAAAAAATTACTTTTTCTCAAACTCCACAAACAATATAATAATATAAATATATTTATTCGCATTCTTTCCAAGTCAGATGAAGAGATCAACGCCACTCTCATACTGTAGCATATCTGAGGCAATTAGTCTAGCTTACTATATTTCCCAAAATGTTGAGCTATTTCTTTAAAAAGCCGCTAAGCAAAGCTGGTCAAATATTGGACGTAGGAAAGTTTTTTGGACTAAGCAAATGTTAAAACAATCATGTTCAACATTTTGAGATATATACTTCTTTTCTTTTCTTTTCCCCAAAGTGAGACGAAAGGATTAATATCAACTTGATTTATGTGCATTCACCAAGCTAAAGATGTATTAGGCAAGCTTAGCAAAAAACTTGAATACACTTATCAACAACACTAAAGCTGTCTTATTTACCAGACTTGTCACCTTCACTGAAATATGAGATATTGTACTGTTCACTGCAGCCAGCTGTTGTTTGCCAGGAAGTAGCTATGTAAATACATTTCCCCAATAACAATAAATTGAACAGTGAATGTACAAACAGACATGAGGTCCTTTGTTAGTCCTTTAGAGGTGCTGGTAGGTGTATTTTTTCAATTTGGACCGAGCCATTATATCTTTTCCCCCTTTACAAGGTGCAAGGTTGTTTTTGTCATTATACAGCAGATGGCTGCATAACAAAATTAAATTTGTAGTTCCTTTGTGCTACACACACAACATATAATTAAGTGTAGGCCTATATTAAAATATGGTGACATATAAAATAAAATAAAACAATACAGTTATTTATATACATGTATAAAAAGGGCCTACACGTATACACCTCGAACATTCCACAGTGCATTTTTTGAATTTGCATGGGGTGAATGTTAGCAGCAACCAGATGACAGTATGAAAGTTTCATCTTCAGAATAAACAGTCTGACATTTGGGAAACAGAGTCCATCTGGACTGCTTTTGTGCACCAAGCATCATCGATGCAAAACACAGAGTCCACCTCCTCTCATCTTGCCAGAGTCTTGCCCTGACAGCTGTGAACATGGACCACCTGCTGATGTTGATGGGGCAGGTCTCTGCAATGACGTGGGCAGTCTCTGAATTCCATTGCTTGGTCAATATGAGTCCCATTTTGTCCAGACCTGCTCGTTAGGAGCAGAATTAAGTTCAAGCTGGGCCAGGATGACTCTCTTTCCTCTTGTGTGAGCGATCACCGCACCCGCCGTGGCACCTGGTCCGGTTGTTTGTGCCGGGCGGATCGTGGTCCGCTGTTCTTTAATCCAAAAACCCCCGTCTTCATCTTCGTATTTATGTCAGAGGTAACACATGGTTTAGCAATAAAGCCGGTATAAAAACTGACAAAAAACAAAACTACTTTGTAGCAAAGTTCGAAGGAGCTATTAGCTGCTGCTTCTACAAGCGCTGCCAGCTTTTATGATAAGCTAGGCTAACCACATTCTGACTCCACCTCCATGATTAACACACAGATATGAGTTTCATATTAATCGTCTCATGTCAATCAAGAAAACATATTCCCCCAACATTTCTTAACTATTCCATCAGCAAAAGCTAACTTTGTTACCTTACTTCCTGCATCAATCCTGTTTTTATCTTGTCACAGTAATTCTTAACACAAAACTGGATAAAACACATTATTGACAATAATGATAACACATTCACTTCACTGATCTTCACTTCACAAAATTTTCTTTTAGATTTGCCATTATCCGTATGTCTCTCTCTCCCAGCCTACATTGAAGACTTAGCTCGCAGCGTGGAACAGAGCAGACGTTTGATCATCGTTTTGACTCCAGAGTTTGTCGCCAAAAGAGGGTGGAGCATCTTCCAGATAGAGACACGCCTCCACTCCATGCTGGTTACTGGGGAGATCAAGGTATGATTCACGAGCTCAACAGGACACACAACAATCTGAGAAATAGTTGTTAAGTTCTTTGTGTACAGTAAGGAGAGTTGATTGAAGAGTTGCTCTACTCAGAGATTTCTCCCTTCTCTTCTTAAACACCTTTACCTGTATGTCTGTATGTTTCTGTGTCCAGGTGATCATGATAGAGTGTGCAGACCTGAAGAATGTCATCAACTACCAAGAGGTGGAAGCACTTAAACACACAATCAAGGTATACAGAGAGAGGGGTGAATAGAGAGAGGCAGGGAAGAAGGGTGTGATCTGAAGGGTGTCATTTGACACCCAGGAGACTGCTCAAAAAACTCTTCTCTTCTCCACAGGTCTTATCCATCATCAAGTGGAGGGGTCCTAAGAGCAATGAGCTGTCATCTAAGTTTTGGAAACAGGTGGTTTATGAGATGCCCGCTAAACGCAGAGAGACGTTGTCCAGACGTCAGGTATATTTTTTTCCAATAGGTTTTGCAGTTTTCACAGTCATGTACACACTGGCACTATTTGTATCAGCAAAGTGCAATTTTAATTAGTTTGGTAAACTCAACCTGCCTTAAAGAATATGTACTGAAACCCTGTTCCCTCTAGTCATGGACCAAACATATAGTTTATAGCTATAGGTGTAAATGCAGAAAAAACACTATATAAATCCAGGTGCCTACAAGAATTATCTAAGTCGGCATATTTGCTTGTGCTCCCCTGGGGTGCATACATTCACCACAAACAGATGGCCTTTTTGGAGTGTCTGCTAAATACAGGTAATGTATGAAAATTGAAATCACAATGGGGAAAATGTGTACATGTTCACCATGTGTTAACACCTCAGGTGGTGTGTGCCCTGATTAGCAAAAGGATTTTCACCTGCTGCTTGATACTGGAGAATTATCATTGAGAAACAAATAGAGTGAACTATATAACTGCCACAGATGTGATAGTGTCTTAATGTCCTTCATTCAAACTTTGTTATGTCTACTTCTTTAGTTTTGTTTATTAGGCCAGCTGAGAATAGTGCCATTCAAACCTACATAGTGCCATAAAACAATTTCAACAATTTCTGGGCTTTGTGAGTTTAAGTAGATAGACATTGACAGTCTACAGTTATTCATGCTTGGAAACTCTGGTATAACCCAGTGAACCTAAGAACTGGTGAAAAGCCTCTTAAAATTATGGGCCAAGGAACACACTTCCTACCTTCTTGAAAAATTGCACAAGAACGCTGCAGAATTCAAGCCATCCATCATGCTCAGCAACATGCACTGAATGGCAAGCAGGTGTGTGACCCCTCACCACCACCAAAATCCCTAATCCTAACAGGATGACATTTTTGTGGACTGCCTGAATCCATGTGACTTTTGTTTACTTGTCCTAGTTCACTTGGAATAGGACAGTGTCAACCTAAATGAACCAAATACATAAATGCAACAAAGTGAACTTTAGCAAAATGGTTCAGACCAAAGGAAAAAAAAACAGGCTGTGATTTCACCCTTTTTGCTATTTCTAAACCTGAGCCCTTAGTTGTATCGCTCACTGTTATTTTCTATACACATACTATACACGTAAAATTACCTGCACTAATATCAGGTGTGCCATAAACTCTGTGGCAACTGGTGCACTTTAAGTGAAACGTGTCTCACGATTAAATTTCAAGAAATACTATTAATGGTATTATTATAAAATCCTGCATAGTGTTTTTGAACCTACCCCAAATTAACTTTCATTCAGTAAATTTAGGCTATATGTTGTCATTCAATAATTTTCTTACTGTCATTAAATCTCATAGGAACAATGTGTGAGTCTGTCTCTTATTAGGTTCAGACTTTCCATATTGTCTCTCTGGTGCACACACAAGCCTTCACTCCTCCCGAACACATACATCTTCAAACGCGCATTGTTCTGTTTTTATCATTTTAGCCTTAATCATAAGAATACTGGGCACTGTAGGTTTTAGGGTTAGGGCTAGTCTAATCTTTTAACATGTACTCAAAAACTTTTCTTATCACTGTGTTAATTTCTCCATTATGACCACTCAAACATGTGTATACATCTGCACAGTGAAAGCTATGTAATTGTGTTTCTCTGGTAACAGGTGATGGACTCTGGTGAACAGGGCCTCTTTGGTGACCTACAGACCACCGTCTCCACCATTGCAATGACAACAACCTCCGCCTCCTTGGGACCCCCGAATGAGAGTCGCCATGGACATCATCAGGTCAGCTGTTGCATGTATATTACTTCAATCTGATGTTATTTAGACTTGCTGTTTCTAAAACCAGGGGTATCAGGTAGTAGGACGGGCCCCAGTGCAAGAATTCTGTGGCAGGCAAAGTCAAAAACTACTGGAACAGTATGAAAATATGAATAGGCTAGGACTGAAGAACCAAATAGACTGCTAATAAATAATCAATTTCACATTTAAAACTGCATGAGTCACACAACTAATTTTGACAGGTTGGCGGCAATTCTGAAAACATCCACCCACCCCACAAAAAAAAAGCCTAATCCCCAAATGTGGATCTGAAAATGAACAGTTTTCACAGTTCATCCAAGTCTGGAAATCTCTTTGGAATGTCGGCATTAAGAACGTAAGGTTTAATTGCCTTATGGAATAATACTTGAAGTGATCAAAGTTAACAGAAAGTCATGTTTTCTCACCACAGGTTGCCTTGGCGACAGAGATTCCCGACTACAACCAGATGACCTTGCCGTTGGGAGGCAGTCACACTGCTACAGCGGCCCAGATGAGGCATTTCTGCCGCAGCTACGAGTTCCAGCTCCCCCCACAGCCTTCCTCACTGTCCCCTCCCCTCCCCCCTCCCTCCACCGTGCAGTTTTCCACTCTGGGTCCTGGGGGACGCCACGTCTATTGCAATATCCCTATGACACTGCTGAATGGACAGGTGGGAGAAAAGACAGGACCACTTCTTTAGTGTTTTTTTTCTATAGCATCCAACATCTGCACAGTGTATCCTTTTTTGAATTTCCGTGCTGTTGTTTGTGTGCATGTACTCAGAGTTTTATCACATTGAAAATAAAACCCCTCTTTTCTCCCCAGGGGTTCAGAGCAGTTCACTGGGGAACAAGAGGTCTGTTTGGATAAAAGAAAATGTAGAAAGAAAATTGTAACTTCATTATATCCAACCTATAATGTGTATTTAGTTCAACAGACTGGGAAATAGCTCTCATTTGCAGTATAGTCATATATGAGGCATGGTGCACTATTCGCATGCAATAGTACTGTATATACTGTAGAATGCAGCCCCTGTTTTCTCTTTTTAAGGGTAGATTTGTGCTTGGACGTGTGGTGTGGGGGACATTCCTTCTAATAACTGCTGTTATTGCTGTTTTTTTAATCCAGGTGCCTCAGAGCAGTACGCTTGGGAAGAAGCCAGAACTTCACCTGAACAGCACCTTCGTACCACTCACCAGCAGAGAACTAAGCTCTGACATCTGGTAGAAGGACTGCTCAACTAGTACTGGATTACAGACCGGTTTACAGACGGCTTTTACAATGGCTTTGAACGTGGTGTAGACTGGTTGGTTGACTAGTTTTGATTGGGTTTTTGGACATGTGTATAGCCATAGCTTTCAGGAGGGACTTCTTGCAGACTGCCATTGGACTAGTTTTGGGCTACTTGATCCCATCAGCAGCAGACTGCTTACAGACGGATGTATTCACATTATAAAAGTGATTGTACGCTGGCTTTGGACCTACCAACTGGTTACAGATTGATACAAACTGATATGTAAGATGACCATTGGAAACATGACTGGTCATACCCGTTGGACTGGAGCATAAAGTTTGTAAACTGGTATGGACATGTGGATGTAATAAACTACAACAGGCAATGAACAGGTCCAGGATACCTAAACAATGAGTAGGTATCCACAGACAGGATTACTTGGAGTAGGAGTATTTGTTGAACAAGCTACCAAGTTGGACTTCGGAGCACAAAAAATACAAAGTATTTTGTAATCGGAGTCTGCTCGCACCCCAGCTGTGTATGTGGAAAAAACAGTTGACTTGTCAGCTGCTTAACTACTCGGAAATTTTGGTCGACTGAAAAGTAGCGTAATCTTGGAAATCTTGGAATGTTAGTCAATCCACCTAACTGAGTTCTCAGTATATTGATCTACCTGTTGACTAGGTGGCTTGTCAGTAAACGAGGCAGACTTCAAGCAATGATTTTGGAATACCAGTCCACCTTAAAACAACAAGTCAACCTCTTGAAATACAATTCCCGGGCTAGCTAGCTAGTTAGCTAACTGGTTTGGTTCTTAGAAGCTAAAATGGTTGACTTAAAAGAAATGGAATCCAGCAACAATATTGAAGAAGTGATGCGTAAAGCAATTGCTTAACTTTGTTACTGAGAAAGCACAGAACTTTAGCTGGTGTACATGGAAGCTAGTTGTTAAAACTAGCTAACTAAAAGGCTGTAACTTCTTGAGCTAGGCGGATGCTAAAAGCCACCATGAGACTGCAAACCAGCCTGCTCATCACCTTGTGACCCAGTAATCAGCAACTTGTCAACTCATCAAGAGGTGAACTTGCCAAGAGGTGACATTCCAACTTTTACCACCAAGCGAAAAGCTAAAAGGACTTGGCTTTTTCTATTTGCATGACCACCCATTTAGATAAAAAAGAATAATCAAATAAACATAGATAAAAGAGTAAATGACACAGTCATTTCTCACAGCCTCTTTTAATATGGAGGAGAATAAACATCTTATGTTGATACAGTATATTTGTTTTCTGTCCGACCATGAAGTAATGATAAAAACTGATAAAGGGAAAAAAGGAGGTATCCCTCCAAAAACATTGTTATTATTTATTTTCTTCTGCTTTATTTAAGAGTTTTATCCTTCTAGAAGGTTGGTGATCATGTTTTGGCAGGCTTTGTTTTTAATGTTTGTTTGTTACAATAATCTCTGTACAGCTTCCATAACTTATGCATAGACCTATACAGTACATGGCGGTGATTTGTTCCCTACAATTTCTGTTAATACCCACATTAAGTGTGTGAGATCCAGAGCCCTTGTTTCATGGTTGTATGGCCCAATGGATGGATGGATGGATGGATGGAAAGGACGCTCATGGTAGTACAACCCTGCTATCAGACTGATGTTTTAAACATGTTACTCTGGCAGAGACCATTTCCAGTCAACCAAAGGGGGCTTGACTGCGTACAAGGCCAGATGCCAAGCTGAACCAGACCACATTCTTCTTTGTGAGCTTTAAGAAACCAAGATTATTACCATAATATTTAAGCAAAGTGAATAATGTTTTGAATTTATACAGAGGTACTGTCATTGTCTTATTAGAACCAATGAATTCTGGATATTTGAGATTGTTTGAGACAATAATTACTTATTTGAGTTGTTATATTCGATGGCAATATACAGTATAGTGGTTGTCTTTTGATTTCTGCTCATTTCTTTGACTATTTTTTGGATATATTGGTTGAAATAATTTAACTGAGAGCAAATAAAAATGATATGAGTTGTTTTATACATTTTGGATGCCTGTCGTCTAACGCGATTGTTATTTCTTATTTCCTTTACTTCTCCCCTACATTCACCTTGTCTGTTTTCATTTCCTCTTTCTTGCTAAACCAGAGTCTCTTTGCAATCTGTTTCCTTTCCTTTCTTTCAACCAGGGCTGGACTGGGACAAAAAAACGGCCCTGGCATTTTTGGTCCAGGTGGCCCACCAAAATTGGTCGGACACCCCTCACCAATACACCATCCTTCCATTTAAGGGCTCAGATTAGGGGTGTGAAAAACTTAGCCCATGAGACGTAACATTGCACAAGATTGGGGCCATGACAACAAGACAAGAACATATTTTAATATATTTTAATAGGCCTACTATTTAGGAAAAAAAATGTATTGATGAAATAGTTGATGGGGGGGGGGGGGGGTCCTGCCCCAGAAGATTTTGAGCATTAAACACCTAATTTCCTGCATTCTGGAGACATTTTATGCACCAGGGAAGCACACAATTCAGGTGCCAGGTGACAATTCATTATTTTACATTGCATTGCTTATTGTGCAAATAAACCTTTTTTATAGCATTTTTATTTGTTAATTAACATATCTTAAATCAAGCTTTTTTCCGGACCTTTTTAACAAATGCTTTCAAAAAGTGGTGGATAGCCTACATGTCCCCATCATCCCCAGTGTAAATGACCCTACTCCATGCTTACTGCTTCACATCCACTCTCCACCTGCTCACTTTCTCACTCAGCCCTGTCACTTTGACACTTGCTAACACATGCCTCCTCCACTGCCTGGCAGTGGCCACGGCTCTCCTTAACTCTTTAGTGCCTGAACCTGCAATACGTCGGGTCCTGCAGCTAATGTTGAAGCTACCGCAGCCCCGGTAACAAACATGTCGGTTTTCGCGCATTTGGTGGCAGCCCAAGATTTATTTTTTTAGGGGGTCGTAACGCAAGAAACAGAGCAGAGGGCGTAGGGGTAAGTAAAAAATTGCAGTGAATCTGCAGTGAATGGAAACAAATTGAAGAAGACATTTAAATTATAGAACACGTAAAAGGCATCCAAATCAGTATTAATTAAGAAACCAAATCAGTATTAATTAAGAAACCAAATCAGTATTAATGAAGCACTAGACAATGTGTGGCCTAAAAATAAAGTAATAAATAAACATAATGTTTTGCTAAAAATACACAATCAAATGGAAATAGTAATTGCATGTTATTTCACTACATAAAAACATAGTACTTGAAACTGAAACATCTTGGGAAATATGCTTATTCACCTTCTTTCTGAGTACTGAGCTAGAGCCTGGAGGGCTATTTTTTATTAATTAGCTTACCTTAGCATAAAGACAAAAAGCAGAAAAAGTTTGCTGGTTGTCTCTACCAATTGTATTTTGCTAATTTAATTCCTACATATTCCCTTGTAGACAAAAAAACAAGTTTGGATTAGTGGGGTGGTTTTTAGATGGAGTTATATGTTGTAAACATTTCTAGTCTTTCGCTAAGCTAGGCTAATCGCCTCCCATCTCTAGTTCCCTACTTAACATAAGAGTGCTATCAATCTTCTAATATAACTGAAAAAAAGCAAACAAGCGCATTTCCCAAAATGTTGAACTAAAATATTGGGATTTAATGGCAATTTGTAGATTTCCTGAGGTAAAAAGAAGATGATGTTAGTCATCCAATTAGAGTTTAACCCAAATTAACCCAAATCTCAAATTTAACTTGCAGACATACTGGTTCATTTTCCTTCAACCATTTTGCACAAGAATAAAACAAGTTAAAACTAATGTTGGAAGTTTAAAGTACTGGCCCTTATCACAATACAAAGGGTATGTCCACTACTACCACTTTGTTATTTAATTCACTTATGTAATTCTCTCTTATTATGCTGATGATACACTCCTCTGTTTTCACGTTAGACATATTGACTGAATTAAACATGGCCATATAAACATAATGCTATTATTTGTTTGGAAACTTGACATTCTCTGCTATAAAGCGGCTATTGTTTTTTTAATTCTGTTTTGTAGTAGACTGTAGATGCATGTTATACAATTATTACTAGTGATCAGTTCAATTCTCTTGGCAGGGACGAACATTTCCGGTTTCCCGAGGGGCTGCCTTTCCAAACTTTAAATGTCTAAAAAAAAAATCTATTTGCGCGTATTATAATCAAATATTTTCCACAATCAAACCTCAATGGTCAAACGGTTGTCTGTTCTAAGTTAAGCATTTGGTAACAGGAAAACAATTGTCACATTATTGGTCAGGATAAGTGGGTGACATTTATACATTAACGACATTTCCGACGATGGTGTGTAATACTTATTTTGTCCACTTGGGGGAGCTCAGGTTACATGAGGAAAGCATAGATTAACCCAGAACAATCTTTCCTTGGAAATGGGAATTCAGCCTTAAATTCAAGCTGGATAATTAATAGAGTATAGTATGACATTTCTTTATCATCATTTCTAAAGGAATTGTGTGAGAAAGTATTGTGAACAAGCATTGGTTACACATAAGATGACGGAGTGTCCTTAATCTTGCTGAAAATAAAAACACTGCAAAAGTAACTTATTTAGATTATTTTCAGCACTAATATCAACAACATATAGCAACAAATGCATTGGGTCTTTGGAGACTGCAGTCTTTGGTTATTTAAAGTTCGGCTGTCCTGGGTTATGTCACACTTAGGTGAGACAAGTAGTATCCCTTTGATGGGGTAATGAAACGCAGATCACGGTTAGATGCCACGGTTACATGTGTGTGTGTGGGGGGGGGGGCAGTTTTGATAGGCTGTTCAGGGAAATGCTAATCGCTGGTTAGTGTCCCCTTTTGTCAGTTTAACAGTCAGGCACCGCGTTATCAGCTTCGGAATCCAAAAAAAGCACCAGTTTTACGATCAACAAGGCATAGCACTTAAAAAAAGAAACTTTCCACCCCCCTTCCGTTGGGGTCTCTTTAGCAGTCTGTTGAAGTTGATCTTTAACCCCCCTGCTCCTCTCTGGGAGAGGAAAAGAGGAATTTGGAGTAGCTCCAAATTAATTTAATATAAAATACACAAATCCACACCGTTGTCCCACTACACATGTCCTGTGGTCTAATGAGACCAAGATAAATTTATTTGGTTCAGATGGTGTGTGTGGCAGCAACCAGGTGAGGAGTACAAAGACAAGTGTGTCTTGCCTACAGTCAAGAATGAGTGTCGTGGTCTGGGGCTGCATGAGTGCTGCCGGCACTGGGCAGCTACAGTTCATTGAAGGAGCCATGAATGCCAACATGTACTGTGACATACTGAAGCAGAGCATGATCCCCTCCCTTCGGAGACTGAGCCGCAGGGCAGTATTCCAACATAACGCCCCCAAACACACCTCCAAGACAACCACTGCCTTGCTGAAGAAGCTGAGGGTAAAGGTGTTGGACTGGCTAAGCATGTCCCCAGACCTAAACCTTATTGAGCATCTGTGGGGAATCCTCAAACGGAAGGTGGAGGAGAGCAAGGTCTCTATCATCCACCAGCTCTGTGATGTTGTCATGGAGGAGTGGAAGAGGACTCCAATGTCAACCTGTCCAAGAGGGTTAAGGCAGTGCTGGAAAATAACGGTGGCCACACAAAATATTGGCACTTTACTCACTGTACTTTACATTGTAGTGTCATTTCTTCAGTGTTGTCACATGAAAATATATTATCAAATATTTACAAAAATGTGAGGGGTGTACTCACTTTTGTGAGATACTGTATTTGCAAATGTGTATTAGTCTGGAACTTCTCAGTTCATTTGTGAAAGGGGCGAAGACCAAAATGCCTCTGGTCGCCATTGGATAGACAACTAATCAGAGCAATGATATGTGTGATGCATGCAAGTTGTGGCAGTGCTTGGTCCGTTTTCAAGCAAGAAAAGAATGGCGCCCTGACACAAACCTTCTCAAATTATAGCTCAACAGTACACTTAATGTGTTTACTAAAATGTTTGAGGCAGATAATAAGCAATGAAGTAACAGAATCTTCATTCATATTTGATCTGAGATGTTGTGTTGTGTTGTGTTGCACTGGATAAACATATAGACTAGATGCAGGTTCAGACCTACAACCAATCAGAGCAGCAAAACTGGACCAAAGTTTCCCAGAGGATGAATCCTACTAAGTTCGGTGATCCCCTGACTATTCCAATAGTGCCACCAGTAGGTTAAAGGTTTCTCTTATCCTGTAAAATATCTCAACATCTACTAGGTTGAGTTGGGTCCAACTACAGACCTCCACTCTCAGGCAACCTCCACTGTCAGGCAACCTCCACTGTCAGGCCGGTCAGTTTTTTATGTCCCCACAGGACGTAACGTGATGCATTCTCAGTTGTTTTCGCTACTCTACACATTGCTCTTGGTATATATTTGCCGTCAATAGCTACCGCTGTCAATATTGTACATCTAAATCACACAAATTACAGAATGTTACACGTGTGTAAGTTAGGTTATTTGTCGTTCTACATAGGTAACGTTAGACTACGCCAACGATGGCTGGCGTTAGCTCCTGAAGTAGCAGGATTAGCTTTTTTTTCTCCTTTGGATAACATAAACTACTCATAGACTGTATTTAGCTACAGTGTGTTCGTTTTTTGTAAAGCATTTTGCAAGGGCATAGGTTTGCATTTGTATTAACATGTTGACGACGCTCAGGTTAGTTATTTGAAGATAAAATTATATCGTTTAGATCGTTCGGTGTAGCTTTTCACACTTAATGATAAACAGTGTGCAAAGACTTTGCTGACTGTACGAATTGATCTTAGTTGAATTGAAGTTTATGTACTACGACAGTGTTTCGTACCCTTTCCTGAAGAACGTTACCCCCTTTCCTGCATGATTTAATCTCTCCCTGCTTCAACACAGCTGACTGAGGCAATTCAGGATTCTTTATTAATCCCGCCGGTAATATCTGTTATACTAAACACCCCCACAAAGCTCAAATTGTAGTCCAGTTTCCACAGTTGTCCGTTTTTCCTATTAAATTCAGCTGATTGAA